ATCAAATCTGTTGATGAAGGTGACGGTGAGCCCTATCGGCGGAGTCCTGGAGTTTGGACGCACTTCCTCCAGTCGGAACATCACCGGCGAGCCCGCCGGGAGGTGGGCGAAGCCCGCGCCGAGGAACCACTGGGCAAACCCCCTTGCACCCCTCCAGCGTGAGAACGCCCACACGCGGAGCGTCCTCTCCACGACGACGCCGGACGGATACTGTCTCTCCGGCACGGTCGGTGGGAGCTCGAAGGTGGGGTTGTTATACTGCATCCTCGCCTCGCTTTCAGAGTGCTCTGGGTTTGGGTGAAGAAGAGAAGGGGGCGGCGCAAATGGATGTGTGGAGAATAGGTGAAGGGATGGTGGTTCAAATAGGGAAAGGGGAAGGGAATGGGAGTGGCACCGACCGTGCTTTGGATTTGCTATGTTCAAACGAGCCGCGTCGATTGATATGCCACTTTAATTGCCAACAGATTTTAATTGCCACGTTGAATAGATGCGAGTGGACCAAAAAGTGTGAAACAATGCTCTACATCGAGGAGACACGCGTGCGAGATGAGACGAACCTGTGGCAGCAACCGTCCCTGCGTCCGTGGTGGCTCGTGTGAAAAAGAGGTCGGTCAGCGTCCGTGGCGGCTCGCGTGCAGAAAGAGGCCGGTCAACGCATCATGACGGCGGGCAGCGGCGCATGCAAGTAGGCTAGCTACGTGCATGCATAGCAGGCTAGCTGGACATGCAGACTTCTGTCGTTGCGGCGCACGCACGGCCCAACGGGCGAACAGCGGCACCGTCCAACGCGACCCCACTCATCAGGTCCAAGGGGTGACACAGTCAGCACGGTCCCACTCGTCAGAGTTAACGGTCAAAGCACTTACCCGACGGCATCCACCATTTGTGACCAGTTCTGAGAGTTTCGGGCAAGGGAGTGGGGAAAAGTGAGCAAAAATTAAGAGCATGGAGATGAATTAGTATGGCTACGAAACCAGGGGCACAAATGTAAAAAACCCTTTTTTATGGCTCCTTGGATGTCATTTGACCACAAAATTTTACACACTTCTAGCGCACTATGGAATCTTGGTTTCCACAAATCTTTAGTTTTTTCTAAACTTTTTTGCTATTTTTTTTAATTTACTGTTCACCTAGAGCATATTTACAGTTGTTTTGCCACAAGCTCCTCGAGTGTTCAAACATCACGAAAAATTGCAAGCACCTTGCGCACCCAGGCATATTGGATGCCAAAAGAATTCAATTTTTGGGTTTTTTTGCTATTTTTGAATTTACTATTCATCAAGCACAGAATATATTGCGGTCAAACCCGGTCAGCATGGTCAAAATCTGGTTTTGGACGAAACTTACCCGTTTTTGAGACTCCGGTGGCCAAATGTGTATAAAAAATTCTTGAGAAATCTAGTCTATGTTTCTGGAAAAACTTGGGGGCACAAGAACATACTCTCCTCTTCTTTCTTTAGCGTGGTATAATCATTAGTCTAGCTGATGGTCAAAGTTTACTCTTGAAAAACGCGTGGTTCTATTTTGAAAAAACGTGCAAGTTCTATTTTGGAGTCGGAGGGAGTATATGATAGAGATGAGCATGTTTTACAGGATCTCTGTTCTTGTGTTTTTCCATGAAATTGGCAGGACGGAGAACGCCCTCCGTCCTTTCTATCGGCCGTTGCTACGCCCCAATCCATGGTCCAATCCTCGTATATCCAAATCACAGTAACGTCGACCAGACACACCAGCTGTACCAGGCAACAGAATTGGCTAGACCAGACGCTGACCGGTGCTAGGCCATCCGGGTGCTACCAAATTTGAGTGACAGCCAAGAATTCATTGCTCCCCCTACAGAAAAAGTTGAGACGAATCTGCCGTCGAACAAGGAAGGCAACCTTTTCTTCCGCCGGGAAGACTATCATGCCCGCCGTTCCTAGTCCTACGTCAGTGGCACCGCCCAAAGATCGAGCGCCAGTGGAATCCGAAGCGCTGCGCAGACGCATATGGAGTGCCGCCACCTTTCCCCATGCTGCAGACTCCGTTGCCGCCAAGCGCCGATGCTCCTTTTCCTAGTTCACCGGCTGAACGGGGACCAAATTCCACCGCCAAAAAAAATGCTTGCCCATGAATATAGTTGGGACTTCGAACCCGTTTGATTGCCGGTAAATATAGGTGGGGCTTAAGAGTCTACTCCCTCCAGTCCTTTTCACTCCGCGTAACAGATTTGTGTCAAGTCAAACTCGACAAAGTTTGGCCAAGTTTATATTAGTATTTGCAACGCATATCTGATCACAGGAAAACTGTTCGTCTCATGCGAGAAGCCGGGGAGTTTTTGAGTTCGAGAGGCTTTCGGCCTTGCGTAGCACGCGCGCGTCCGCGGCACCGATGATGCAACCACACGAAGATGAACAGTGGGGTGAGGTCAGGGTCCTGCTTTTGCTTCAGGCGCAGAGCATCCAAAGTTCCAAACTGCAACGAGATAAATTGGGTGCGAAGCAACAGTCCAGTCCAGTCCAATCCGGTCCAGGCGCAACCGCAACTGCAGCAACAGCACGAGCAACAGCCACAAAATTACGCCGGGGTCCCTGTTCCTCCCAGGCCGGTCCCGGTCAAACCGGTCAACAAAAGACGTGGTGCAGAGCAGTTAATCCAACACTCTGAAGCACGTCAGAGGTCATGTAAACTTGGACCATTAACCTAGTAGTAGATTCCTCCCTTGCTCCGAGAGAGAAAAAAAATATACTCCAGCCGATTGTGTATAAAAGGATTCCCTTTGCAGTGAAAGCAGGCGGCCAAATGATTAGGCGGGATAAGCATATATGCAATGGGTGGACGAAAAGGAGTCTCTAGTTTCTATGGAATGCTACAACTGTCGCCGTATCCTAAATGCAGTACTACTAATAAGTACTGAATTGATAACAATATTGCATACACGTATACTTCCCTGATTTAAGCTGGGATGACAAAATGATTAGTTTTTCTCCTCCACCGCTTTGGGCGTTATTGAATCAAAAGGTCCATGATTGCCATCCCGAAAAGAAAATTTTGCCACCAAATGCAGTCCCCAAATATGGTGTGCGCTTTGTACCGAATTGTAAGCTGGGCGGCCACGAGTCACTCCCCAAGTCTACACTCCCCGTCGGCTAAAAGCCAGGCCATATAATACACATACATCGCCGCCAGAGCCAGACTGATATTCATATTCATATCGTGTGCCAACCTTCTCAAAGCAGACAAGGACTTTCCACCTTTCCTCATTGATTTCCGTAATATTCCCAATCAGCCACTTTATCATATATACATTCTCCAACTCAGGGGAGAATCTCCCTGTCTAGACACAGTAATTGGCCATTTCCGATCAATGCAGGAGTTGCACGTGAAATGATTCAATAATTCAACTCCTACTACTACAGTAACCAACCACAAGCAACAAACTGTCATATTTCCTTGTATTCTCCCATAATTCGTCTGCGAAAAGGAAGGCGCAACTATCAGTCGGCAGAGATCAAGATATTGCATGGATAGGTACACATATGTATACACACGGGCGTCGGAGATTGTATTGTTGCTGTCTGAGATATTGACCCGAGTGATGGATGGACGGCGCTGTTGTTATCGGGGGTGGCTTCAAGGCCAAGGGAGATAAATAGTCAGTAGGAGCTAGACACTAGAGAATAGAGACTGATAGGCCGCGCAAAAGCTTTGGCACAGCGTCCTTGTCCCCGGCCACTCCAAATGGTCTGGGCCGCCCCAGCCGTCCATCTCCAGATCAGATCTGATGGCACATCATGCGTTCCCCCTCGGGCTGCCAGCCAGTGCACATCATCAAATATACCCCCGTGCTTTTGCATGCGCTTTATGTGCACAATGAGAAGAAGAAGAAAACAAATTAAGGGCTCCAGCGCAGCTCGCTAGCTGCTCTTGCTCTCAGAGTGGCTAGGCTTACGGGCTCTGGAGATAATTCCCAATCATTTGTTCTAGTGCTGATTTTCATTCGCGGATGGATGATGGTACACGTCGATTAAACTGTAACTGAAAACAACCCAACTTTCGACGATTGGTGGACCAACGTTGTGTGTGGAGGATTAGGATATGGGCTCGCCGGAGAGATGAGCCAAGGGCGACAACAAAAAGAACGAACACGGAAGCAAAGCATTACTTATACTTATAAACATTAATAAAGGAGTACTCATAAATGATACGTGCATAGCATAGCATAGCAAAGAACTAACCTGGAGCTGATCGCAGTGGTGAACCTATACAAAACCTCCTGTGTTGTGTCACGGAACAGAACGGAATTTCGCGTCGGCCAACCCCACCCACCCCACGCCCTCTTCTGCTGGACGCGAGCAAGAACCCTGCTAAGTTTGCTCCCCTCACGCTCGTATCACCGGCCGATCACCCATGATTATCCTCCCTCTAGTCTAGCCATGACGACGCACGTAGCTAGTCCAACCAAATACTCCCAAAAAGAAGAGAATCGGATAAGTTCGCAAAGACCATCCGGAATGCCTCCACATCCTCCAGGTACCGAGCCCCCCAAATTCCCATCAGAATCCCGCTCCGTTCCGTTTCTGCCACTCCGTGGACAGGCACAGCCTAACGACACCCTGTAACAGCTGTTCACTCCGGCGGGGGCGTTCCGGTCATTCCACCGTGGGCTGGCTGGCGGGCGGGGGTGGGTGTGTCTCCCGGCGCGCAGTATTATTATACTGGGAGGGAGGGGCAGCATGGCTTGGACCAAAAGGACAAGGATGGATGGTGCATTATCATAGCCAGCGCCAGTATATATTTGCCCCTCCTCCCCTGTACACCCCCTTCCTTCCCCTCCCTCTCCCCCACCCCGCCCCTTTCTACTCTAACCTTTAGCTTTTCCTCACTCCCTCCCTCCCTCCGTTCCTCTAACAAGAGCCGCTAGTGTCCTAGCCCAATTCAGATCCTTAGCTGCAGCTGGTTTTAGTTGCTTCCCCTCTGGTGCTGAGGTAGAAGAAGGAGGAGGAGGTAGCAGCATCGCCATGAGCCCGCCGAGTGTGATGGGGCAGTTCGGGGACACGACCTACACCAAGGTGTTCGTGGGCGGGCTGGCGTGGGAGACCCAGAAGGAGACCATGAGGAAGTACTTCGAGCAGTTCGGGGAGATCCTCGAGGCCGTCGTCATCACCGACAAGAACACCGGCAGATCCAAGGGCTACGGATTTGTATGCTTCTTCTATACCTCCTACTGTACACACACACTCTCTCTCTCTCTCTCTCTCTCTCTCTCTCTCTCTCTCTCTCTCTCTCTCTCTGCTGGTTTTCCCTTCCCTTTCAGTTTCAGTGCAGTTTAGCTTGGAAGCAGAATTAAGCTTCTAGCTAGTGCAAGTGTTCTCTTTGCTACACTGCACATACTTTTTCTGTTTGCCTGAGCTGCAATATGAACGACGGATGCACTTTGAATTGGTGGTTTTGTAGGTTACCTTCCGGGACCCGGAATCGGCCATGAGGTCTTGCGTCGACCCCGCGCCGGTGATCGACGGGAGGAGGGCCAACTGCAACCTGGCTTCCCTTGGGGTGCAGAGATCCAGGCCTCCAACCCCGCAGCACGGTTAGTAGACATTTCCCATTCTCTCTACCAGCTGCTAGCTACATACACAAAGTAACATTAGAGAAGAGTTAATAGCTAGGTAGCCTAATTGAAAGCATTTCTTTGATGACACCCTCTCTTTAATTATTTGAACGCAGTTCAACTATCACACTAGGTAAAAGCTTTTGAAAAAGCAAAGTAATCGTCATCATTATAGATGCACTGCTGACTCTTCTCATTTCTCTGTGAGCTCTAGCTAGTATATAGTTTCATGATAACCAAGTTAGCTGTTATGATTTTATGCGCAAAAGCACCTTCGTGCAATTAGTATAAAGGAGCTCAATTAGGTCCATAAGGATCTTATTTTGGCATTTACTAGAGAATAAGAGGCTTAAAATGGCTACCTTTAGCTCAGTGCAACCTGATTTTCCCAAGCACAACAACGTCGCTGCCATTTGCTTTGCAGCTGGAAAACTAAATAGTGGCCTTGACAGGATATCCTCTGAGCATTTGCTTGCTGCAGAAAGTAGATAAAGGCGAAACAACATTAGAGGCGCAAAGTTGTTAGTTATCCTCGGAACAAGTGCCGTGTTTCGGATAATGTGCAACGTTAATTAGAAAATCCTAGGGTTAAATAATAAAATCCAACCGAGATGAATGCCAGATTCGAGAATCTTTTACTTCTATTATGTCGTCTTGCAATTCTGAAGACCGAGCCATGGCATGACCGCGAATATATATTCATCTTCATCAGAGGTGCATAGGAACAAGTGCATGCATCCCTTTTACAGCAGTGCGTCTTTTTGTTGATGATGCTAGCGAGTAATGTGGGTGATTAAAAAAACTTAGGGCTACTAACTTTTGTTTTGCTGATGATTTTACTACAGGAGGCGCTAGGAGCTTTCGAGTGATGAAGTCCTTTGGGCAGCAGCAGGCTGCGGCGGGGATCCAAGGTGCGCTGGGCGCAGCTTTTCCTTCGCAGGCCACCTTCCCTCATTATGCCATCCCACAAGGCCTCCCTTACCATGTCTATGGGTAAGTTTCTCTCTCTCTCACTCATCTCTCTCTCATGTGGTGAGGAACCTATGGAAAGTGTCTATGGACCAGCTGTGACGGAGGGTTAATCACATGCATGACATGTGCATTGTGACATCCCATCTTTGGTCAATGGCGACTGGCGTGTAACTTTTTAGCTTGCATGCAACACATCTCTCTCACACATATGCTCGCTCATAAAAGTGACAGAGCGTGCTCTAGTGCCACTGCACGTCTGCACATGACCGCTCAGTCTCACACTCTTGCTGCTCACTCTCTCTTTCTCTCTCTCACACGCACACAAGCTAAGCTTGCTGGTTTATCAAGTACATAATCTAATGCATCATTATTAATTTGTTAAGACATAACTAATGTTTCTTTCTCCCTCGCTGCCGCAGGTATTCTCCCTATTCTCCAGACTACGGTTATCCTGCAGTAAGTTCTATCTTCGCATTAGCAAAAAGTTCTATTGAATTCACCAACAGTTACATATTAATTGCTACGAGTTATTGTCATTAATTTCATTGAGGTTTAATTTGTGTAGACAAGAGAAAAAGATTAGCACATGGCTTTTAAGTTTGCATGTCGCTATACCAGCGTACTTAAAATGTTTCCTAGTATGTATGCATATCATGCATTTTATCATAAGAGCCATGATATGTGATGAAGGGATGCATGAAAAATAGCACTACATAAATGTTACATAAAAGTGAGCATCATGTTACATAGGATATGCTTCGGGGTCATAAAATGCAATGATGTGCAATAACCAAAGAAAGAAAGAAAAATGCTGACCATTTTGCCTCTGCAACTGCTAACTTTCAAGCCAACCTGGAGGATTGGTGTTCGCACTCTTTGTCTGTGCTGCAAATAAGCCCTGCACAGGTTTAACTTAAAAACAGAATGCTTGCTTTGTTTCTATTCATGGAAGCCATAGAATTAACAGTAACCTAGCTCACCAGCAATGGCTTGAGCATGCATAGTAAATTCTAGTATTCCTCTACCAGTACATAAATATAACAGTTACCTGGAGATAAAATAATAGTGATGTCATATCCACAGTCATGTCTCAACTTTCCTACTTGAAAATCTAAACTCTTCAAGTCCTTGTGATCTGGATGTTTCTGAACCATTACAACTGTCCCATCCTACAACATAAATGATGCATGGCCTACTCGTTTTGTTCTGTTGCTGATACTGATTTCGCTTTCTTCCTTTGCTACTGGAGTATTGTGAAAATGTAAAGTGTAGAATTCCTTCTTCCTTTGACCCAGGAGCACAGTGAAATGAAAAGCATAGGCTAGTACAAGTGTACAGCCAGCACAGTGCTACTGAAGTAATTTTTAGTTGCAAAAACTCTCGTGACAGCGAGTACTTCTTAGCACAAACAAACAAACAAACATGAGGCAACTGCTCTTAAAAGACATCCATCAGATTCCTAGCTGCCCACCATGTTGTTTGACAGTAATATACCCAGATAGCCTCTTAACCACCCCTTCAAAGCCATTCCCTTTCTTCAAACAGGTATGGTTGCCATGCTAAGTATAACTTCTACACAAGGATAGATGGTTGTTTTTCTATTTTCCCGCCAAAAATGGCTCCATATGATCAAAGGTGCAGTGCTAAAGGTACATATAGTGCCTTGTGGTCCTATCAACTTCCATCTTACCTTGTACAGCCGCACATGGCATGGGCCCTGGGCTGTCTAGACCGAACCTGCTAAACACTTGATCCATCTTTCCATCAGCAGCGCGCCCTGTTAACCCAATAAACTTATGGCGGCACATGCTAGTGTCCCCATCCCCCCCGAGTCTATCCAAACCGCAACCTCTTACCTCTGTTTGGCTGCATATAAAGGACCCAAATTACCAGCTGGGACTCTGAATCTTGTGAATCTTGGACCGGCCTGTAGGCCAGAGCACACAGGTTTACAGTTAGTGCCTGCGACACTCAGCTATGGCTCTGGCCCAGTTGGATCCAGCGCAGATGGCACATGCAGAGGCAGGCAGTCAGCAAGCAGCCCCTGTGTTCTGCAGGCCAGTGATTTTGTTAGTTTCAAGTCGAATAGGAAGATTTATGAATCTAGGAATTTCAATAGGTGTGAGGTAGACAAAGATCTGGGGTATATCACTACAGCAATAGAACTAGAGGGAAGGAGGGAGATGGTACTGATTTTAATATAGCAGGACAGTATATATACTTGGCATGGTGTAACAGAGCATGGTTTATGAACAACTATTAAGATAGCAGGAATAAGATCCCTTGGTAATTATCACAGCACTATTGGCCTCTGAGAATGCTTAAAGTTGGGAAATTAGACCACAATCTTTTTTCTAATCAACAGATGCTATACTGCTGTTATGTGTCAAATGCGGCAATATCAGAAACACTAACACAAAGCACTATCTGGTGAAACTTTGGGCGGTAAGCAAGCAAATTGACAGGAATGTAACAGCATGAATACTTAAATTAACATCTATTTGTAAGCTAAACAGATGAAGCCTGCATATAAACATAATTCAAGTGTAATTTAACCTATACATAACAGAGCTCCTAACAGACATCATGGCATAATACTTATGTTATGTTTCTCCTTATGTTATTTAGAACTACTACAACATCTATGGAGGAAACCAGTACCCGTTTTACGGAGGAGCAGGAACTGGCATGGTGACCGGAACCAGTCCCTTCTATCCATACTTCCAGTTTGGGCAGTCCGGAAGCACTACGCCCAACTATGCAACTGGACAGGGCTACAACATGCAATTCCCACAGATGTTTCCCTTCTCAACTGTGGCTTCTACAGCTGCTGCTGTAACTGGCTTTGCACAGCAATATGGAGGGCCATTGTCACTTGCAGCCAGTCCTCAAGCCCAAGCAGGTACTACTAGCATCTTGTATAAATCTACTATTTTCTAAATGTTTGTCTTTCACTATTCAAGCCCTACCATGGTTAGCTGAATAAATCCAAGTACAATAGAGTTATGACATGTATCCCTTGATAAAGAAAATGCAACCCAAAATATTACCAGCTTATTTGCAATATAATACTCCCTCCATCCCATAATATAAGAGCGTTTTTGACACTACATTAGTGTTAAAAACGCTCTTATATTATCGGACGGAGGGAGTATATCTCAGTCTGTTCTAGTGAATTACTAAGAACAAGTTAGCTTTTGGTATGGATTTGTCGATCTGTTAGCTTTCTTTATATCCATTACAATGATAACCTAACATATTATCCGCAATGAGTAAATGGTATGGATTTGTTGATCTGTTAGCTTTCTTTGTATCCATTAAAGTGATAACCTATCATATTATCAGCAATTAGTAGATTTTTCTTTCTTTTTGCTCAGTTCTGATACTAATATCTTGACAGTGTGTATCCCCATTAAACAGGCATGACTATGGCTCTCACAGCACCAACCTTGCCAAGTCCAACTCAGGCTGCTCATCCTTACCGGCTCGTCCCCTCGCACTTTGCTGTGTCTGCTGCTCCAGAGCAATCCTTGGCCTAACCATGGTCTCCATCCTCATCGTCACCGTCTCTTTTTTATTTCCTATGTGTTAGTCCATGCATCCATCTCTAACACCAAAGGGTGTCACCAATGTTGATCCCATGTGGATCACGTAAGTGCCCCTCTCTCCATATCCCACATGGTTATGTGATGATTGGAGACCAGCTTGAGCCCCAGGATGGGCTCAAAGCTTGATGCCCCAAGGAAGGGGATGTACTAACAGTCGGGCGCAAACCAGCCATTTAACCAGTCCAAGGAAGGACTTCATCCAAGAGAGTTAATTTGAGCCCTAGCAAGAGATGGCTACGGTAAAAGGCAACCCTAACAATCAAGCATGACCCCAGGGAGGGTTCATGCTGATACAATCCAAATTGGACAAAACTGACATGTAGACAACCAATTGAGCTAGCATGCCACTCCAAAACTTCATCAGTGGAATTCATATTGTATTTAGCTTAGGCCAAGTGCTTCTGGCTGAAGCATGAGGCATTTAGCAGATCCTAATATTCTATTCATGGGTGTTATCTAGAGCAAATAAAATTTGACATCTGACCAGTCTATAACTTCATTTCCACACATACTCACACCCCCCCTCCCATCACCACCAGCAACTTCACAACAACATCCTGTGATAACTTCTTGTGTAACCAACCACTCTAACTTTTCTATGCACTGAGTAGATGCACCAACTAACAGTTCTTTATCCTTCAGTTTATAGCTTTGCATCTAGGTGGCTCAGGCTCTAAGGAGAGCCTGTGCCCCTCATCAGAGACAGGTTCAGGAGTGCTAATGTTAGTTTTTGGCACTTGGCACTACCTCCTGCCATTTGTAACACAGTGATGGGACTCCAAAGAAGGCTTTGGAGATACCAAAGCACTGCTGTGCAACTCAATAACCCCAATGGACCCAGGCATATTTTTATTGTCTTGGGTCACCCACTCATCTAGATGTTCATCTTCCCCAATGTCATTACCATGGTTAGGTCCAGGACCCACTCTCTTTCTCTCTCTGGGCAGAGAGGCTTTGATGCTTTTTAATGTAATATTATCGGTCACAGTGATTGTAATAATAAAGTAGTACTATGCCACTTCTAGGGCAGGAACTCTTTACTGTTTTATCAGTCGGATCTAGCTAAATATTCTGTCAACCTATAATCAGTACCTTCTCTATCGACATGGTAGCTCGCCATATAATGCAATGTAAAATCTACCTGTTCTGTTGCACATTTTCTATTCAATGTTCTTTTATCTAATTTCGTCTCAGTGCTTAGTAAATAAATGAAGTCATAAATGAAAGAGGTAATGTGAAATACTCCCTCTGTAAACTAATATAAGAGTGTTTAGAACACTAAAATAGTGATCTAAACGCTCTTATATTAGTTTACGGAGGGAGTATGTGTTAACAACATTCTCCCTTCACTTCATATATGATGCACCAGATGCAGACTGGATGGTTGAGAGTTTCAAAGCAAAATTCGTACCTGTCCGGTAGTAGTTTAGATGTATGAATTCCAGATGTTGGCTGAATTAAATCGTTTGGTAATGAATTGGTTCCTTCCGAAGAAAATTAATGCAGCCGCCTTCTAAGCTATAGAGATTGTACCGACGTGCCCATAAGTACAAGGACTTTACAGGAAGCCGTGCTGAATAGCCAATATGTTCAGAGTACTACGATATAAAAAAAGATGTCCATTGACAGCTACCAAGTACTCCCTCTGTAAAGAAATATAAGAGTGTTTATAGATCACTAAAGTAGTGATCTAAATGCTCTTATATTTCTTTAGAGGGAGTACCAATGTTAGACCATGTACGTGCCCAATTCTGCAATTCAGTTTGAAGATGGCAATAACCAGTATAATAGCTTGCCGAATTCTGCAGTTCTACGACGATGACACAAAACAGCTTATAATAACTACCCCCTCCGTTCCTAAATATAAGTCTTTTTAGAGATTCCAATATGGACTACATACGGACAAAATGAGTGAATCTACACTCTAAACTATGCCTATATAAATCCTTAGTAGCCTGTTACAGTGTTAGTTAAAACATTTTGCAGCTATAGGTTAAGATGACAAGAACAAACTGTTTACAATAACATTCCAATGGTAGTTTAGACTATACCCTAGTCAGACAGCATAGCCCAGAATGGCTTCTTGCTATATCATGAAAGGACTTTTTTATTTTTCTGAAAGAGGACACGAGTCACCAGTCCTTAATATAAGGTCAAAGAAAATATAAGCTTTAGAACACTTTGACCTGACAGCAAATACAACATATGGTTTCAATGCCATAGGACAATGTGGGATCAAATAGTTACTTAACAACTAAAGGAGCAATGAACAACATGCATACTGTATCCCCTCAACAAGCAACCTGCTAGCACATAAATGAATATCCAGATATTGAACATTATCAGAAAACATAGAAATCAAGCTTCCCTGAAAATTTGTGGAGAAAGAAATTTAGAAGATGAAACAAGCTGGCTCATTATAAGCACACCATTCAGAACATCAACCACCTTTGTAGCTTACATTAGACAACTAAACGACATTCTAGAATACTTAGTTTTATATGCCGGCACATCCATATCATGTTCAGCACAAAAGGGTAGCCTACTGAACGACAAGTGTCCGCGCACTAAGAGACATGAAGCAGAAGTCCAGACCACAAACAATGATCAGTAAGCATCTATGACATATCTTCATGATAGAGATGAAGTCCAAGACCAAGGCGGGCACAAGCTCGGCGAAAAGCCATTCCTTCAGCCTTCTGGACAGGATCTCCAAAGCCTTTTTCCTCAACAGAAGCAGTTCCAGTAGCCTCTCTATAGATCTGAAAATAAGCATATCCAAAAAAAAATACATTAGATATAGCCATTACTGAGAAAAAACGCGTACATTTACAGCAGTTTATCACAAGAATCGGTCACCAACTGAAATGTAGAACACTTGAACTATTAGTTTATGTAATGCAAAAACAGAGATGAGTTTATGTCAACACTAGAACATTTAGTGACAGCTAGGCCGCTCACTACGTCATTCCACATACAAATCATATGATCCATTTATACATTTCAGCATGCATAGTCCATGATCAAAGAACCGATTATACACTCAAAAACTGAGCACACAAGATCAGTGTAAACACAAACCAGATCGAGCAAACTGAACCAAATATAACTCCGAGGAAAAGAAGGGTACCTCTGCATCAGTTCCATAGAGAGTCACACGATAGACAACAGATACAGATTTCCCATCAGATGAGTAGACAATGTTGCGAACCTCCCCAGACCATTCTGCAAAGGGTTACAAAAAATTAAGCTCTCATAGAAAGGACATATAGATATAATATATCCAGAAATTTACCTGGAGCGTGCATATTCAGAATTTTGTTAGCAAGGTGCCTGCAGAAGGCATAAAAAGTGAGGTCACAAGTACACAAGATTAAAAATACATATACAGCATGTACACTCATGATCATGTGAACTGAAGCCATTTCGAACAATAAACAGAAAAATGGAGGGTTAAATTAGTCTTCCAAGCAGGGTTCTAGGGTTCTCAGGAGAGCTAACAAACAACAAAAGATTTGATGTTCGGTTTATTTATCTGATAGGAAATGCTCTCCAGTTATAATACAGTTATCAGTCTATAAACTGAAAGGCATTGTGCTATGCATAACAGTTCTCTTGAATTTCTGCTGCAAGAGAACCAATTTCGGTGACAACAATAGCCAGTGCGCATTAATATAGACCCAAAATCAATTCAGTAAACCAATTGATCACAAGTTTTTCTGATGGACTTCGTCCTAACTAAGCTTTCATCGGCATCCAAATTGATTTTAGCTCTATCAGAAAACCACCAACTGCAACATTGGGAACATAACTACAGATGTGTAAACCAACACTTTGAGTTGATCTTAGATGCAATTCCATATCGAGTAACACAAACCGCGGAGTAAAGGATAGTGCTCAACATAACCTAATGCTTATACATAAATCGGCATATAGGACCAAATCATTCTAGAAGCAAGCAGGAATCCCCTAATTAACCAGCCCTACACGGCACCGCGCAGTAAAAGCTAGAGTCCGGTGAACGATCACTGTTGACGAAGGGGGCTCAGGCTCACCATGGGATGTACTTGAGGGCGAATCCATTGTCCTCGAGGCGGGTCTTCAGGAGGGACTCGGGGACCCTCTTCCCGAGCTCCTTGAGGATGCCGGCGAGCGGCTTGCTGATGCCCTCGGTGGGGATGGGGGCGGCCTCCCCGCCGCTGGTGAAGTCGTCGTCCTCCTCCGACAGGGGCTCCGGCTCCGGCGCCCGCTGCGGCGCGCGGGCCTTCGCGGCGAAGGGGCGCGCCAGGAGCGGGGACGCTGCGCGGCGGCCGATGATGAGGCGGGCTAGGGCACCGGGAGCCATGGTGGGGAGGCGGAGGGGGAGAGGGGTTTGGTTGGGTTTTGGGAATGGGGAAAGAGAGTCCCAGATATATCGTAACTTGGAAATTCCCCACCAAGTTTTGCCAACTATTGTGCCAGAAGAATCTGATTTTGATGTCAAATCTTCGTTAGATTATAAATCCAAATCGTTTTTGAACAAATTTGGCCCGGGTATTTGTACAGCAAATTAAATTAAACCGACTGAAACATTAATGCCAAAGTGTGTACTGCTCTTCATCAGCGAATCCCGTGATATCTTAATAATGCTGCTTAATAATCACTATTAGATCAACTCTGTTTGCCATTTTTAAATAAAAAGTTTGAATTGATTTGGTTGGGATGCGCCAGCCCAGGCTGTAGTGCAACGCCTGTACGACACCCGAGGGTCCCAGTGGCAAGCCACTGTGGTGAGCCCTCTCCCATAAAAAATAAATTTAATATCGTTGTGGGCACATGGCCCACATATCAGATATTAAACTGATAAAAACAGATACTACACTTGATCTTAGCCAAAAGGCCGAGAAAGGTATGAGTTAAAACGGTGGCCACCCCAGCTCTTTATAGCCTCGCGGCGTTGCGCTTCCTCCTCGCTAGGCGATGTGGTACTAAACGAGTCGCGTAGAACCAGGCGAGAGGCGAGGATGGTGAACTGGCTCCGCGTGACCTCACATGGGCCTCCGGGTTAGGCCGGCCAGGCCTATATCCTGCTTAATTGGGCCTTTCTGGACAACAGCGGGCACCTCTTCTAGTCTAGAGTTTCGTAAAAAAAAACCTCTTCTAGTCTATCTAGAAAGAAAAAACAGTAGTTGCGAGCCCCGGTGGCAGTAACTTTATAGGCTTTTATAACAATTCAGAGTTTGCCTAAAAAAATTCAAGTGATGATTTCCTGTGTCTCAAAAAAAAAGTGATGATTTCCTTTCCCTCAAAAAAAGTGATGATTTCCTCACCGTAAAAAAAATAGTTGAAGTGGTGCGGAAATTTTTCTCTGACGCAGAAAATTCGTGGGAAAATCACTATGATTCAAGCTGCTGCTCGGTGCAAAGTGATTTGGTAGTATAACACTGGTGCGACGGAGTTTGAGTTTCGTTCAAACTTCTGCTAATGCGGAGAACACACATGGTTGTAATTTCAGTAAATTACATCAATTCACATTTCAACCAGATGCACCGCAACAAAGTAAACGTACAGGTTCACAAAGATGCACAACGATCATCCAAAACTCACAAGTTAAAGAGTTGGGAGATATATGATTCCTAACGGAAGTACAACAAGCAGTGTTACAAATGATTCACTTGACACGTTGACATCCATTTCAATTCTGCAAGAGCCAATTCCGCTGAACCGCTACATGCAAACTAACACACACAATGGATGGTAATGCAGGTTCAATTCGTCGCATTCAGCAACTCCGGGTCAAGTTTTACCCAACCATTGTTCGTTTTCTGCCCCGCTGCCTGACTGAAAAATCCATGCAAGGAACAGAAATAAGCCATGAGGTTAGGTTAAAACATGAGGCAGCAAATGGACATCGTACTTTGCGGAAGGGCCATGGCAACATATAATACCTTGAGCTAGCTTGTTCGTAGTGGCACACCACTGCCTTGAAGCTTTTCGGTACGCTGCAAGGATCTTCTCCATCTAATTCAAAGCAAAATGGGTGGCTGTTATCCACAAAACTGGAACAGTAATAAAGGCAGTCCATGTCGAGCACGGAAAATCCCATGGCACCGGACTAACTGCTAATATATTCTGATTTGTCAAACCCCATGTTATTTTGGAACACCGTTCTTCTAAGGCAGGGTGTGAAAAACGGCTAGGAAGTCACACACAAGACATGAATATTTCCTCAAGATAAATGGAGTAGGTGTGCTAACAATCGCAGAATAACAATTTTGACAAATTAATTTAACCTTGTGGTCTCTGTATAGGTATGTCATTTCGGACACTGCACGGTGTACAGGAGGCAATTTGCGTACTAGTATGAGCAAGTATATCTACGTTGACCGACTGAAAGTAGTGCTAATATGACGATCATTATATATACATACTTTCAATATAATCAGTTCTCATGTTTTTACCATCATATTTTTTATAGAATACTAGTATTAGAAGTGTTTCAAAAATGGACAGTTTACGGTCAAGTCAGCACCACCTGAGCATAGCAAAGAACCGTGTGAAGACTGGACGACCGGAATCTTCCTCGACAGTCGCCGACCACATGGAGTGGCTTGCCCTTTGGGACACAGGCACTCCAAATAAAGCAAAAAATCATACTTGGCGACTAATGTGCAATGGACTCGTTGTTGGAGCCGAGCTCCTTCATCGACATATCAAGATGGGTGTGTTTTGTGCTGTATGTGGTAGGGAGGAAACGCTCTACCTTAGGTTTTGGGAATGTCATCAGCACTGTTCTGGAAATTCATGCACTCGGAATTGGGAGCTCCGGTGGCGATCCTGCCGGTTTCAGCAGGCTCTCAGAGTGCACTATCTAGATGGCTGCCATCGTGGTTTGCTGGCGCTTCAGAAGAGGAAAGAGCCACAATGGTGCAGGGTGCTTATGCACTCTGGCTACCAAGGAATGATACGCGTGAAGGCAAGAAGATCGCAGAGGCACATGTGATAGCAGGTTTGGTGATGGCCCATATGGAGGACTGGAAGTCGGTCCATGGAAACAAGGAGAGGAAAATGCATTAGGCGATGACGGAAAGATGGCGACCACCTGAGATGGGGTGGATCAAAGCCGATGTGGATGGTGTAGTATCAAAAACTGGGGACAAAGGGGCCGGTGGCATGGTCTTCAGGGATCACGACGGTGCATTCAGAGGGGGTTTCTGCCATGTGTTCCCTTCGGTTTCCAACCCCGATGTTGCTGAACTTCTCGCCTGCCGGCGTGCTGTCAAGCTTGCAATGGAGATGAACATTCTGAAACTTCATGTCGAGATGGATTGCAAGGCTGTGGTAAGTATGCTAAATGATCCTACGAAGAACTTGTCAGCCGCTGGGCCGATCATTCAGGAGGTGAAAGAGTTGCTGCGCACTCGAATGGACTTCAAAGTTAGCTGGGTTCCGTGATCGGCTATTGGTAATTGCTCAAGATTTAGCAAGAGAGGAAGTGAATGATGATTTGTGTAAGGTGTGGGCTCATGCTCTACCAGACTGTATTCTTGGTACTGTTTTCTGCTGAGATCCCTGAACTCTATGAATAAATAGCATGAATGGTGATTTCCAAAAAAAAAATGGCTACACCTTGTGCAAAAATATATACAATTATATATGGAGGGGCTACTTGCAAAAATGGCCCCCTATATATCTTTTGCTCCACAAAAAAGTAATTAATAGTCTTTGGACACATTTAGGACATCATTGATATGGTAAGAGTCATAACTTGGGAGTAAACAAAGACACAAAATATCTTAGTGTACATGATTTACACAATTCACTTACCACATCCCCACATGAAGAATGCATGGAAATCAAGGCTCTCTCAAGAACATATAGGTCCACTGCCTTGTCCTCGGGAATAGTTGATGTAAAGCTCAGACCAAAATCAATAAGAACCTGCAAAATGAAAATATAATGTGGTAAATTGATAGCCATATGCAAACTTTTTAAGTTAACACAGTAAATAGATGAATTAAAACAGGGGAAAACAAAGAATATTGTGCGCACCAGTTGATTGGTGCTGTTCTTGATCATCATATTTGAAGTTGTCAAATCACCATGGACAAGACCTCCATCGTGTAGTTTGCCAACTGCATTACCTATCTGTGTGGCAATGTCATTAAGACGTTCTTCATTTATCCCATTTGACCCAAATCCAAGAAGAATATCTTTGACGCACAAGCCATCCACATACTCAAAGGTTAATGTATGTTGAAGAGGGTCCACAGCATACAGAACTGGTGTAGGAACACCAAGCCGCCTCGCTTTTGTCATGCATCTAGCTTCCTACAGATGGAAGGGAGACCGAGGTAAGGCAAGTTTTAATATCATTTGTACATGTTACAACCTAACACGTGAACACAGATCACTCTATGATTCTATCATTCTCTTTCAATATGAAACTGTACAAGAGTTATACTTCTATCCTTAAAAGCATATGGAACTCTTTGCTGCTTGATAAACAAAATAAGAAAGAAATTTGGTATCAATACTATTCATCTTTGAAAGAATGTTTGTACAATTAATCTTAACATAAAGAAAACTGGAAGGGGTACATTATCTCAAAAGAAAAGCACATAGGTTAAGGAGACTGACAGCATTTAAGCGTTTTAGAGTCAGCTTTGAGTCCAGCAATGGGTGACGGTACTTCTTTGAAAAGCGCTCTTTGATTACGCATTTTCGTCCAACAAATGTAGAAACAAATACCCTCTGCAAACAAGCAAACAAACTATTGAAAACAGGTACGGGACAAACTGAAACTATATAAGTCTAGAGTTTTGACTCACTCCTTCAGCCCCCTGCTTTAGTAGCACACCAAAATCTTGTTGTTGCTCCTGAGATATGTCCATAAAGTTCGATGTGCGCTTAAAACAGAACTGTAACAGTGACAATAAAGAAAAGGGGGAAAGGTCAGCAAACAAAAAAACTAATCATAACAGTATACTTTATGATAGAGAACTTCGACATAAGGATTAAGGAGGGCAGTTGCTATACAATACTGCCAGAGTGCCAGTCATTTTTGCAAACTACTATAATGGCAGAACGGCAATAAAATACTAAAAGCAAAAGTAACAGCTTCACTGAATTATAGTAGTTCACTTGACTATTAAAAACAGTAGTCATGGAACGGATTCCACATAAAAATAGGGTAATTACATGTAAGATTCAGGAAAGATTTGACAACTGATTAATTGAGTTTATTAAGTAACAACAAAAACAAGGGTCATCAACTCATCATACATAGTTCCAAACCAAAGGTTTAGAAGCAAATATGCTCGGATAAGTTGACTAGTCCCATAGTACCTAGACTCCCTGCTTTGTCCTGGGACAGAGTATCCTACTTATTTATTGCTCCAGCAGCAGTACCCTTCTTAGTTCGGATCAAGCTCTTACAGTTCTGAGAGGTCTGTCTTTGTGCAGGACGAACTGGTCTGAATACTTCTGTCTTCAAGGGATCCAACAGATCCGATGAGCACCCTAACACAATGCCATTCTTAGTAGCATCATCCCATAACTCCTTTGCAACCTCGAACCTACCGTTCCTAGAAAGCTTTTCTATAAGCAGATCATATGTATGAGTGTCCGCTAACTCACAACTTTTCATAATTCTGAACATGTCAAGAGCATGATCAACTTTCTCTGTCCCACAAAGGATGCCAATGAGGTCATGGAAAAACTTTGCTGTCGGAAGCACCCCACTTTCAAGCATATCTTCTACAAGCCTTTTTCCTCTGATAATTCTATCGGTCAAATAGAGGACCTTAACTACAAGATAGTAGCTAACCCAGTCAGGTGAGCACCCTTCTTCTCCTTCCCTCATCAAATAGAGGATTCTGTATGCTTCTTTCACTCTTCTTGCTCGTCCCAAACAAGACAGTAAGATGTTGAAGCTGGATGAATCAGGGGTGACACCATAGGACCTCATCTCAGTTAAGATATCCATGGCCTCAGAAACAAGCGCAGAAGGATTAAACTTGAGGTTTCTATTGCACACGCAGTTTAGAAAGTCGTTGAACGACGGCAATCCCAATGGGCAGCCTGAGGACTTGATATCATCAAGGACTCTCCGAGCTTCCTTAGCATTTCCATGGACGCACCATCCATGGAGGAGGCTACGCTGAACGATGCTGACCATGGGCTCCGCTGAGAGTTTGCTCTTATGGTGCCACACAACACCCTGCGCCTCACGAGCATAGCCCTTCATGCACAATGTCTGGACCATGGCAAGGCTGCTGCACCATATGCCTTCCCCTCCAGCACCCGGGCCTTGCTGAGGCAGCAATTTCTGCCTCTCCAAGCCTCTGAACAACCTAACAGCCTCATCCTCCTTCCCTGCCTTGACAAGAGCCTCGACCACAGCGGTGAACGTCTCCGGAGCCATCCTACGGCCATCCTTCTCCCCATCTCCGACAGCAATTTTCATAGCGGTGAGGTCACCCATCCGGGCAAGCACCGCAATCGCCCTGTCGTGCTCCTCATCCCCCAATCCGGCGAGGTCCTTAGAGCGGCACCACGATAGGAACCGCAGCAGCCTCCTGCCTGAATCACTCCTCTCGCTACAAGAATCGATCACCCGCCTGACCAGGGCCGGCGATATGGCCAGGTTCAGGCGATCCAGCCTGCTTCCCACCTCGTCCAGGCTCCCGGAGCCGAAGCACACGACGTCGCGCACCGCCGCCTCGGATTCCCCCTCCTGCCACGCGCCGGAGCACATAGCGCGACGGATTCGGCAGCGTCCCAGCCTCGAGCTTGGCGCGAGGGAGCTCTGGATCAGGCTAAGCGCTGTTACTGATCTCCTCATCACCGTCGCCATCACGGCCCGGTGAATCCCCAACCCAATACGGACACAATTTGGTCTGGAGCAGAGAGGAAGCGGGAGTGGTGGGTCGTGGAGAACTGACCTTTATGGGTTTACACGGCCTCCGCCGCCAACGACGCGCTGCTCCGGGGCGAGGCTGACGGAGGAGGAGGGCGGCGGCGGCGGGGTTCGGGGTTCGGAACAGAAGCACTGCTGGCCAACCAGGAGAACCTAGGCGCCCTTTGGGTAACTGGGCCGGTAAGCCGTAGCAAATCCTGCCACGTGCAGAGAAAAAATAGATTTCACACAAGAGTTTCAAAAAAACAAGAGTCCATCTTTATCTTTATATCTTTATTCTTTATCTATTTCTATTTCTATTTCTATTTTTCTAATCTAATCTATTCTAATTTCTATTTTCTATTTTTAATCTATCTAATTTTAAAGGAAGGATTGTTTCTTCACTTTTTTTGGTTTGCGGTGGGACCAGATGTTTTTTCGTCTGTCACAAATCCTCTCGAGCTAGTTTGCTTTTGGTGGTGGGCTCGAACTATATCTGGCCATGGGCCGGGCCGGGCCGGGCTTGGGCCGGGCCTGAAAAAGCCCACGGCAGAAAACTGAGGCCCAGGCCCTCCCAGGCCCTACCATCGGGCCTACTTTTTAAGTCCAAGCCCGGTCCATCTGGTAAAAAGCCCTGAAAAGCCCTTAGGGCTTAGGGCCGTGGGCCGGGTCTCTTCCTTAAAATGCCAATATGCCAAGCCCAAGCCCGTCCAGGCCCTGCTGGTGGGCTCAAAACTCAGGCCCAAGCCCGGCCCACGCGCAAGCCCATCGGGCCTAGGCCCTGGATTTTAGGGCCGGGCCTGGGTGGGCCGACAGGGCCGGGCCTAAGATGGCCAGGACTAGCTCGAACCAGCAACCAGCTGCTGCTACACCCGCGTACCTAGCCACTACACCAGCCTGCCTTCGGTGCAAGTTTAGCAGCGCGGCCTTTAAAGAAAAGAGAGAGTGGCAAAGCAAAATACAAAAAAGGCTAACAAAAAATTGTGTGTGAGTGGGACCAATCATATGACCTCCCGTAAGTTAACAACGTCCCTAGCCATTGTAGTTCTTCGATTTTTTTTATCTAAAAATTGCAGCGAAAGATTTAAACTTTGTTAAGTTTGCAAAAAAAATTGAAAAGAAGTGAACAGATTTTCAAAATCTAAACAATGTTTGAATTTCTGGACAAATTTGAAAACAAGATTATTTTTTTGAAAAAATGAACTAAAAAGAAACCTTGAGTTAGTAAATTGGGCTAGCTCGTACTTCTTTTTATTACATTCATCCATCATTATTAAGCCAGGTGCAATGAGTATGTCCGTTATTTTTGGGCCGTTCGATAAAAATGCTTGATTTATTCTCTCCAGCAGATCGTTATAGAGCATCAGCCAATGTATGCGATGGGTTTTCTTTCCTCCGACTGGTGCATTGTATGCGGGCTCAACTATCCCACGTGGCAGCCAAAATGTAATATTTACGTCGAAATTGCTTCTTCACACAGTCACTGGCTACAGTTAGATGCATTTAATCTTCACGTGAGGCTGTCTCTTGGTCGTAGAGTTTTGCCCTCGAGCGCTTTAAATTCAGATGAGAGGGTTTATTTACTTATCAATTTAAATACTGGCTTCTCATTTTCTTACACTAAATTTCATCAGTTCATCTATGTTTACAAGTTGTGTGGAAAATCAATAAACCGCTTCATGAATTGATAGAGGGTGAGGAGTGGGTACCGATTATCCCTGGAGAAACGAACACATAATTGTTTTGTTATAAATGAGTAGGGAGGATTTAACTCACATTTCTCAAAAAGAAGAAATCAAGTCCCAATGTTCTGGATGCTTCTCTTGGGGAGAAGGTGGTTCACAAGAAACCAACTTGATCACGAGCTCAACATAGCGGTCAGGTGACAACCTGGTAATACTTCTGAGAAGATATTCAGAAAATCACGAACCACCGGTATGTTACTAAGCTCGAGAACAATCTTGCTTTTCAGGGCAAGACGATATGATCAGTAGAGCAAGGGTTTGAAATAATCCTAACTCATCGATCGAGGAGTGAACCAGGAGAATGGACTAGGTAGCACGATCAATTTTAGAATGATGATTCAATAACCAACACACTAAGAATGAAATTATTGTCCTTTAACTACCAAGCAACGAGGTTGCTGGGGGTATTGATTTCACACATCACAATTCATTTGTCGGTATTCCGGTTGCATCAACACGAGGGCCGAGGAATGACTAATGATGGTGAGAAGTATCACTACGTCAAAATTCATGAGAGTTGGTGCAGTTCTCATGACAATTCTGACATAAAGGGGGTAATACTCCAAGGTAGAACAGAACCAAAAGCTGGATTGGCATTTGATCTGCGGAATACAACTACTTTGACCCAATCCTAGATATGGATGAGGTACTGGAGTTTGTTTCTCCAAGTCATTCAGGACAGAATGGCTTGATGGACCACAAGAGTAATAAGCATTGATAACACGAATGCACAATTACTCCTGACTATCAATTGATAGACGAGGGCCAGAAAACAACTAAAGAGGGACAACTCAAAGGAACATATGATTTTCTGAGTTGTGAATGCATAGATTAGCATGTCGAACGAGTTCAACATATTTCTTCCGGACAATCCATGCGGAAAGGTAGAACTGGCAGAGTCACAATATAGCATGGAGAACTCATAGAGAGCCTGTTGTGATCTTTTGATCCAACAAACTTCTGCCATAATGGTTCATGGTATTTGGAAGAACGATATACCACGGACCTCGAGGACTATCGCAAAGGTTACTAATATCCTAAAGGCGCTAGCAATTACTATCAACATGAAGTAAGTAGAGTGAATCTCGGGTTCAAAACCCAGAAATAGAATGCCTACTACTAAGTAGCATCACGGAATGCTTTCGAGAATGATGGCCAGAATCATCACACTGGGAACACAAATCATGGCTAAATTACTAGATGATCCCCTAAGACACCTAGGTCATAATAATAATCCAACATAAAGGTCGAGGCAATAGAATACCTCAACTCAACAATTAGTGTGATTGAGCTGGCATAAAGGAGCATCGAAACCAGAGGAAAGGATTTTGCAAATGCATCAGACTGTTTAGAAACCTGGGATGACTCGGACAGCATAACGGCTGTAAATGCTCAGAAAAGATTTGAGACATTCACAAAAATGGTGGCATAACCACTCAGAAGCACAATATCAAGGTTTCGAGATCAACAATTAACATACGGAGGTAGAAACTGAACTGAGGCTTAATCCAACAATCTTATAAGTCTACGGATTAGTAACACGTGATCCTGATAGAAAGAAGAGATAGCCTAGTTCTTAATCCCCGTAGAAGAGAAGATGATGACTCAGATCAGAAGGCCATGAGGTATAAGGAGTAAAAAGAGCCTTACGTTCCATCCCACAATCAATTCCCTTATATAACTAAAGAGTTTCTAGACTCAACTCCGACCAGTTTGGCTTGGTAATCCTACAGGCAGTCAAGCTCTGATACCAACGCTGTCAGGACCCCGACTCAATGCCACATCGATCTAGCATGTAACACCTCATATCACTTTGCGGCCTCACGCACGGTATTCCCACGGGTGTCGCCTTACCTTAGCCCGGGACCGTTTGCGCCTTTTGGCACACATATATGACAGTGTCGCTAGCATCCATATGATAAGGAGCCCGGGCTGACATGGCTAGTCGTAAACCCAAAGTGGCACAGACTTACAGGGACAGGCATCCATGACCCAGCATCGAACGTGTCGGTCATCAGCGAGTGAATCCAGGCTGTAGCACTGGGCTAGCAGGACTCCGGTGAACCGGGCTGTAGCGGGCTAACAGGACTCCGGTATTCATCGCGTGACATTTCCCCGAAGGGACAGACACAGGAACGAAGAAGGACACATGCCGGCCAGCCTAAGTGTTCCGGAGCAGTAGCAAACTACCAAGGCTCAATGGAAACACTAGGAGATATTTCCCGGTAAGAGAGGCTACTAAAGATAAACAACTAGATAGTCAGAACCCACACATACCAAGCATTTCAATAACATACACACAATATGCTCGATATGTGCAATACAACATGGCATCACAAAATGACTCTACGACTCAAGTATTTATTCAATAGGCTCCGAGGAGCAAGATATTACAAACAGGGGTCTCACGATCCAACATTCAGAGCATACAAGTCAAAGCACAAGCGGAAGCTATCATGTCTGAGTACAGACATCTAGAAATGAAAAAGGCTGAGAAGCCTGACTATCTACCAGATCCTGTCGGGGCACAAGATCGTAGCTGAGGTAACAAGCTAAACGCCGAAGTCCACGCGAAACTACTAGTGAGACCGAAGTCTCTCTGCAAAAACATAAAATAGGCAAACGTGAGTACAAATGTACCCAGCAAGACTTACATCAGAACTAACTACATATGCATCATTATCAACAAAGGGGATGGTGGAGTTTAACTGCAGCAAGCCAGCTTTGACTCGGTGGCTATCCTGGACTACGACTGCAAGTAACTCTTTTGAAGTGGCGCACACGAGTCCACATATTCACCAACCAATACACCACTATGGATCCGCTCCCGTCTCCCTACGAGAACGCCATCCATAGCACTCACGCTTATCTTGCGTATTTTAGAGTATCCACTTTCACTTGTCTATGAACTGTACAAGGGGTCCAAGTTTCCATATCCGAGGAATCCGGCTATTCGAATAGATGATGTTAACCCTGCAGGGGTGTACTTCTTCACACACGCTCCCGCCACTTACCGCCCTGTACACGTCATGTACCTCGGCAACCTTCAAGCGGAAGCCGGGCGAGGGAGTCGGCCACGACCTGACTAACCGAACAAGTCTCTAGTCCAGGTTTATCGCCTATTCGGGTTCCATCCGCAAGGAGATCCGGCCGGGGTGTCGCTTACGGCCCCAAACGATGTGAGCAGGGTTCCCAAGCCCACCATCCGGGTGC